TGCAGATACTACGAAGCTGTTCTCGTAATGTATGGCCAGATATGAAACGTCATATAAAAAATTGGGTGAAATCCTGTGAATCTTGCCAAAAATCGAAAATTACTAGACATACTAAAGCGCCACTGGGCACATTCTCTCTTCCTGATGCACGTTTTTCAGAAATCCATATGGATATCGTCGGACCGTTACCTCCATCAGAAGGCAACGTGTACCTTTTGACTCTAATAGATAGATTCTCCAGATGGCCTGAAGCCATTCCCATCCCGGATATGAAAACGGAAACCATTTGTAGAGCCATCTTCAACTGTTGGATATCTCGTTTTGGCTGCCCATCGATCGATAACAATAAGACCAAGGTTCTCAAATGAGATCCGCACTTTTTTGCAGAATTTACGCGCATTTTGGGTACGAACAGAACATAATCACAACAACAGCCTATCATCCAATGTCTAACGGCATCGTTGAACAATTTCATCGACATTTAAAATCTTCTCTCAAGGCTCACGAGACCAATAACTGGACTGAAACACTACCAGTTGTTATGCTTGGTATTCGGACAGCCGTAAAGGAGGATCTACAGTCATCTTGTGCTGAACTGGTGTAGGACACAACTCTCAAGCGGCCTAGTGATATGATAACATCATCTAAGATATCTCCGTATGACACTTAATTTATAACGAATCTTCGGCATAGAATGCAACAATCAAATCCAATGGCAACATCTGCACATTGCCAAGAAAAGTGTTACGTAAGTGCTACCTTAAAGTCGTGTACACATGTATACTTACATGTCGATCGAGTAAAGCCACCTCTGTGCCAACCATATACAGGTACGCATAAAGTTCTTTCTAGAACGAACAAAACTTTCACAATTGATATTAACGGTCTGAAATCTACTGTGTCTATAGACTGTGTGAAACCAGCCTATTTGCTTTCGGACTCTAATTTGCCTTAACTGAAAACAAATAAAGACTTGAAGACAGTTCAGCAGAATAAATCTGCAAACGAACTCTCTAAGACACAAACTGTCACCAGATCGGGAAGAAATGTTCACTTCCCTAAGAAACTTGCTTCTTACATAACAATTTAACACATTTTTTTTAAACTTATATCGTAACATATTTTTTGTTATTTCATGTTTATTACCTTGTTATATATTGAACTGCATTTTGATTTTTTCTAATTTTATATTCTAATTTTGTAATTATGAAAAAAATACCCGACAGTACGGATCCTCTGAGATATTTTCATAACCTTATGTCGTTCCTTTGAATGGCCATCAAAGGAACTGGGGGGAAACTCTGTGGTGATGGCGATAAGGGGCCCACCAGCGGCCGAGCGGTAAAGTCGCTGAACACTGGTAGTTCGGTCCGAGGTTCGAATCCCACGAACGGGCTGGCTGCATGGGTGTTTTCGTGGTTTTCCCCATGTGTAACGTGTATATGAGCCAGTTACCCTTAGAAAGTCCTCCACGAAGGCATCCCTCCCTTTAGGCAGACAGCCCTAGCGAGCTTTGCACACACACACACGATGGCGATAAGGAGCGCGCCTTGCGCCCTCTGATAAGTGTGGCAACCCTAGAGGAGAAGTTTCTTACGAGTAGCGAGCAGAGCGAAACTGGCCGGCTGTCGGGGAGTGTGCGCGAAGTTCCGAAATAAAGCTTTAATTTTTATTGCACACTATGTCTAATTAATATTTATATTAATGCAGTAAGAACATAATCTGTGATATGGAATGCGAGGATTGGTGGTAAAACATATAGGTAACACCATAACAGGAAGTCACCATATATGAATCACTCAGTAGTTCCTTAAAACACACGCTTAGAAATGACGTCAAACTAAGAAAAGGAAATAAATAATTCAGAATGAGAAGACCCCGACCAAAACATGGAAACTTACCTAAGCATGTAAACCTACCTAAGAAATAATGCCTGAAATAACCCAAGAAAAATGATTTTCTACTTTTAATTCTGAAAAATAGAAACTATTGCTCCTGAAAAGATTACACCCATTGTTATCCCAAAACCGAATCCTAAATGAAGATTCGATCATTAGATGTGTTTCGCAAACTTGTAAAGAAAGCACAGAATCCGAAATGAAAAATCGAGCTATGTATCCCAATGCCAAAACAATTATTGGCTTTCAAAATGCTATCGCTAAGCTCAAGAAATCTGGAATACAATTTCACACCTTTCAAGTTAACAATCACTTAACAATTAAAGGAATCTTAAAGAATACGTCAAACACCATAACTGAAACAGAAATTTCTGAAGAGTTTGCAATATTTTACCAAGATGCATAATTTGCATTTAAAATCATCTTACGTACTCGTTAACTCTTCCTAAAAACAACCCACCTCTCTTCTAAGTCCTGCTGTGTCCGTTGTGGAAGAAATCACGAGGCTTCATTTAAGGGGGTATGAATTCTATCCTAAATTCGAAAAATTCAACTAATGATACAAATATCATTGTATTATTTTATGTACCTACTGTTAGTGTGACTAATTGTATTAGAGTGTTCTGCATAAAGGCATATCTTTATACCTTCGATTACTGTTATATAATTGGTTATGCGCGTACTTAACTCGTCAACTTCGGACTACATCAGAGGAGGTGGTGTTTCTTTCCGACTCGTTTTCGTACGCCGCATCAAAGACTGCTGTCCTGCTAATTCATTGACACCAAGGAGGTTAAAATACATGGAGATGGCGTCTCCGCTATTGCAGTCATGGATCTTCCATGATTGCAGTACGAAAAAAGTGAAGCCAGGGGGAAGGAAATAAGCCACGCCACGTGAAGGCAAGAAAACGATTACCTTACTAAGCGAAGTGAGGTAAAACGCCAGCTGGTTTCAAGTTCTCAGTGTGTTTTCTGATATTGTATGCGTAGATGTGAAAGGCCTAAAAGGCACTGAATTGTTACAGCGAAATAATGTCTACATTTCCGACTTCATGTCCATATAAAAAAATGTTTTAGAACGTGCATAAACAAGTAGGATAATCCGATAATCGAAACGTGTGTTTCAACGGCCTTCAAGAAAGAGTTTGAGTATTTTTTTTATATAAAGTACATGAAGAAACATATATAGTTCTCAGATTTACCTTTTCATAATAATAATAAAAGTGATATTCGTAATTAACTTATATGTGATAGCAAAACGATAAGTAAACAAGGGGAGGGGGAGTGGCTAGCTCTCTGTGGAAAACAAAACAGTTTACTTTAATGTCTGATCATAATTACATTACAGGTTTTACCTTTTATGTGTTTAACTACATTTTATTTTGTGCTCAAGTAAATATATAATAACTGTATTTGATTTTTAGTCACATTTGTTGTGTGAGTTTTATTGTTATATATTCTAAGTATATATAACAACGTAAAGTTTACATATTTCGATCATTGTTTATTCAAATAAAGTTTTTTTCGAAACAAAAGTAATATTTATAACATGACAAATTTGAGAATTATATATACTTAGAATAAGTAAATTATAATCAAATAATAGTTTGAGCTATTCTGCGTACTATTCTGTGTTCACAATACTTTTAATGCTAGCATTCATTAATTACAGCATGCAGTTACATAATGTAGAAATTATTGCAATTAGATAATGTAGAAATAAAATGAAATGGCGAGAAATGTAAAGGAAAGAGGACGTGAAGAATCTGCGATCCTTTACGACTACCAGGAAGAAAATTGGGTGTGGTTAGAGCATGTCAATCTTTCTAAGCCACGACTACTAAGGGCATGCTTTTCCCCTTTTTTGGCTTCACTTGGACTCAGGAGCGTAGTTAAGCGCCCGGGGACAACTAAAGAGTTTGCGCACCTTTCTGTGTGCTAGAAATGGAAAATATTTCATTAAAAAATTTCCTAGCATGAATTTGGTGCCCCTTGGATGCTGCGCCCGGGGACAAATGTCCCCCCTTGCCCCACCCTAGCTACGCTACTGCTTGGACTGCGTGGAGGGCATCTCCATGAGTTCTAACCTCCTTGATTGAACCTTGTTCGAAAATCCGCAACATATTAGATCGGGCGATAACACGAGGGATCGTTTTTTCGAACCACTCGAGTTTGCCTGAGCCGAAGACAGGAAAGAAAACACACGCCTTCTGCGGAAAAACTTAACCCATTAACGCCCAAATTAACAATTCTTGAAATTTTGCCTTGAAATTGATAGACATTGTTAGAAATGCATAAATTAAAAGTATTTCAAAAGCATTTTGAAAAATTTTAACTGCAACCATATTTTTTAAGCCGTCCTCATTTGAGGACACTGGGCGTTTGTATAAAAATGTAAAATTTTTAAAAATCAAAATTTTTTACATAAAATGATTTAGTTTTAATATATAAACAAACTAATAGACAAAATAATGTTAAAAATCAAAATTTATTTTAAGACGTGTAAGAAAACTTTTTTTTTTTTACATTTTTAAGATAGATTTTTTTTTATGGAAAAGAGGAAAAGCATTGAATGCACAATGTTACATTGCATTTCATGCAATATGTTCTTGGCTTTGAGGCACAATTGTCATATTGGCAACGCCTTTGTTTATCTCTTTTACCAATAACATGCTGTATTTTGTCGAATTTTATGTCAGGAAGCACGTTCGATCTGCATGTTATCCTCCTTTGTACTGGTCTTCCTAGGATTGCTTTTGAGTCGGCTCCTTTTTTTCAAATAGGTTACTGCAATGTATCTCCTAAAATCTTTGATTGACATTGAACGATGGATCCTTTTATAAATGAGATAGGCATTTACAACAGCCATATCTATCATCCTAGTAATAAGACAAAAATACCATTTCTTTCCTCGTATGGCTATAGAATGTTTCTCAAGAAGCCAATCATGAAGGTCGACACCCCCCATAATGAGGTATAGGAACTTATAGCATGAGGCTGATTTACTTTCACCTTTTCTTTTTTCTCTACACTCCATCTTTGTACTGAAGATAGCGGCATTATTGTGTCAAAATTAGTGGCCAATGAAACACACTTATTGTCATTTGACAACAAGAATTTCATTTGTTGTGTCAAATTTACTATCGTAAAATCCTCTCTCTTTCTTACTCATTTTCTTGTCATCCATTATTGGGCATTTTTCAGTACGATTTTCTCGAATTGTTCCACTAGCTCTAAACTTCAGTTCTTTCAGTTTTTTTAGTAACGCATGACTGGTAAAAAAATTATCAAAATAAACACGATGGCTCTTCGGATCTTCTACAATAGATAGTAGATTTAGCACCACTTTTGTACCTAAAGGCAGTTTGTCAGATTCGGAAGTATTTGTTTCCTTTCCACAATACAGTGCAAAGTTATAACAGTATCCATCGTTGCCACACAGAGCCCGGAATTTATGCCCAAATCTAATAGGTTTAGATTTTATAAACTGTTTCAGTGTATGATGACCATAATACCGGACGATCATTTCATCAACAGACAAATTTTCATGGAAAATGCCCCATTTTTGAAAATTCTTGGAAAGCATTTCTAACAAGGGACGTATTTTAAATGATTTATCATTCTTGTTATATTGATGTAATTTATTATCTTGGAAATGCAATAATCTTTTGAGCTCTAAGTAGAAATTTCTAGTCATAGCATTCTTCACTATTGTTACTCCTAAATCATCTGCTTCTGCCCAGTAGTCCCGTTCACTGGGTAAAGTATGATAGCCCGAAAGTATCAGAAATCCTATAAATGTTTTATTTCATCTTTAGTCACATTATAATTCAATTTATTTTTCATTTCGTGAGCATATCGATTAGTTTCCTCTACGATCATATCATAAACACTTTCAGTAAAAAATTCTTCAAACAGCTCAACTGGACTCATATTATTAGTTTGAGCTGTCAATATATCAGAATTTCTCTTGGACAAATTTTCCAAATTCCCAAATGTGTAAGCCGGGCTTTCATTCGTCCATACAATTGACTCTCTTTTACGTTTACGGGAATTTTTTTCCTTTTTCTTATCCGAAATAATAGGGTTATCATTATCATCTGGCATTGTAATTTCTAATGTACCTGCAACATCTGATACAACTGGAGTACCCAAATTATCATCATCGAATTGCTCTTCATCTGTTAGATCATCCACATCCGGAGGCATCGATATAATATCTGCTTCTATTTCTTCAGAAAAAAGATAAGCAGTCGCCTCTTCTAAGCTTTTAAATATTTTATTTCTACTCATTTTTCAAGATTTATTTATAGTTTTTCTGCAACAAAAGTAACAAACACTTAAAAAATAAATCTGAATACTGCATAAAAACTATACCCAAACGCCCAGTGTCCTCAAACGAGGACGGATATGTTTTCCTGGATATATTTACAACAATAAATATTAACAAACATGCTAATTACACAATATGGGCTATCTAAATTATATTTATAACAAATTGAAAGAATTTACCTCATAAATGCAGTGCCATACAGTGGAACATAAAATAAACAACGCGATTACCCAAAAACGGGTAAATTATACTTTATCTTTCCCGCGCAATTTTACTTAGTTCCAAAATAATTGCACATCTCCCATTGTATGGTGGTGTCATCTATCGGACCAAATTGTACATATAAAAAAAAATTTTAATTTAATGCAGGGAATAACAGTTTTTTACAGCGTCCTCAAATGGGGACACTGGGCGCTAATGGGTTAAGCTAGTAAGATTAATCATGTAGTTCTTTCTAGACTTGACAGATGGAACCACAGTACAAAACTTTCTCTTCTCTTATCATGGGATGTTTCACTTTTCTCCGCCCAGTGTGGTTGTGCCCACCTTTTTCGCTTCTTCGTCTGATTTCTGCAGAAGAGTGTAATTTTTGTTTAATTTTCCGTTTACCTCAGAAATTAATAGCACTCTTGGAGAGGAAGAAATATGATTAAACAAGAATGAAGTTAATATAATTAGTGCATAAGTTGCTCGGAGTCAAATTTAACTAAATTCTCTCTCTAATTAACTGACGTTTCGCTTTTCCCCGCCCAATGTGGTTGCGGTCCACCTTTTTCAGTCCTCCTGATTTCTCCCGGAGATTCTAATTTTAATTTACTTTTCCGTTTAAGAAAATTTAAATTTACTTTTCCGTTTAGATATTAGTATTTTTCCTGGAGAAGACGAAATATGATTAATAAATTGAATAAGTGCATGAGTTTCTTCGTAGACGGATTTAACTAAATTATATCTGCTTAAACTAAACTTAATTCTGTCCAAGTCACTCTCCATCGGGCTCATTTCTTCATTATGCTCCATCGGGCTCACTTCATAATGAAATTCGTGGAAATAAGTTTAAAAGAAAAAAAATCTGAAAGTTTTCAGATTTTAAATTGCGTCCAAATCGGCGTTTTGTTAACATTTTGCATGTTACATTTAATTATTAAATATCAAGTTCTTCGCACTTGAACCATAAAATTCAGTTCAACAGCAATATTGCAAAATAATTTTAAAATGAGCATACATCTTTAGAATTTCCTATACACAGACGCGCGAACGCTGCAGATATATTTTTTTTTTTTTCTCTCGTACAGTGTTGCCATTGTCTCTTTAAAACGGTTGTTTTCGTAAGTCAAAATATCCTTCAAATTTTACAAAATATGAAATAGATTATAAAGCAAATTCCAAATTTGGGCTTCCAGATGCCCATATTCGGGTGGAATCATACGTTATTCGATGGCTCTAGGACCGTTGTTTTATCACAATATGAGAAATATACATACATTTATGCAAATTTATCATTATTTAAGGGTTTTCATCAGCAGAGAACCCGTTGGCGCTTCGGGAAAGAACCCGTTGGCGCCGTTGCATTCTTACTCGCCAAGCTCGCGGTTCATCGACGATGAGCCGAGCCGTAAACGTTATTTTTAGTGCATGTAAATTCAAGTTAGCAGATAAAACAATATATTAAGCATATGGTAGTAAAAATTCACAGATATATGCATGTAGATGTAAAACTAAACGGTTAAACGTGATATACGAAAATAAATTTGTATTAAATTCAAGTTAGCACAGAAAGGAATATATTATTAAGCATAATTCCAGTTAATACAGAAAACAATATATTCCTTACATCAGCAGTGATTTTCTAATTTTGATGACCATGGTGATGCATCAAACTATTCTGTCATCTTAGATAATCAATATATATTTTTTATTTCAATTTAATCATCTATTTATGTCACACCTGCCATCCTCTGAAAGGTTATTGCTAGAAAAGCATTAACAATATATTATCTTGTTAAAATTTTACGCCATAAAAATTGATTTATTCTCATAATTTTAGATGACAATAAACAATAATAAAAATAAAAGCATTACTTAATTATTTTAAATGCACATGCGCATTTTTGCGGTCTACGAAATCAAATTATTTTAGACTTTGGAAACCTCATGGTTCTTAGAGCTGTTAAATAATAATAAGAAATAAGAGGAGAATAATATAAATCTGCAAATGCGAACAACGACAGTGTTAATTCAACAAAATACACGCAAGAGGAATGGTTGCAAACTTCGAACAAGCGAATATGATAAATCTGATGGGTTACCAAGTTTGAACTATTATCGCCAAAGTTGGCGATGTTTACATTTAGCGGGTTCTCAGCGGAAGTGCTTCTTTATTTAATTACTTTCAATATAATACAGGGTGTAATATTTGGTGGCAACAATTTGGAAAGTAAACCGATATTTATAGTGAACCAACGCAAAACGCTCAAACGAAATTAAAAGCCCTTCTCGGCTAACGCTCTTTGGGCTAAAAATACCAAGCAGCTGTTGTCTCTATTTTTTTCTCTCTTTTTTGATTGATGTGTCGTACATGACGGTTTGTCCAAACTGCAGAATGGGAGAACCATGGAAATTCCCATGCATTTAGACCTGTTTGGATGTGGTTGGAGTTCGCGAACTGCTATTTTTCAGCGACCCTTGGTGTCCCTTCGATGAGTCTTTGTCCCAGTAAAAGTATGAAGTGTGATTTGTTTCTGTCCACATTATAAATTGTTCCTAAAAATGACATACCATTGTCATTGCTGATAATTATCCTCAAATTTCGAGGTTCAAATAGTTAGGAGCATCTTTCCTTCGGTTTTCTTGTGAAGATATTATCCTTCACTACAATTTTGGAGTATCATTTCTTGCTGACTCACTTGTCTCTATGTAGAGATATGGTTAGTCTTTGGGAAAATTTATATGTAAATTTGCTCACGCGCTACTGTGTGCGTTTGCAATATGACTATCACAAATATTTAGTAAGGAACTGGAAAGCAGTTTGTATTTGTAATTAAGAAATAAGAGTTTGTATTTGTGGATTTATTAATTCACTTTAATGTTCTTATGAACATAGTTGTATGGACGATTTCTAAGGCAGAACAAAATTTTTTATAACATGTTATGTAATATATATGTGACATGTTAAATATATAATGCGTTGTATTTTCAGAAAAATTACAGCAAACAAAATTACAGCAAATTTGTTTTCTCGAAAAATTTGTAAATATTATACGTTCATAAAAATTTGTAGCTAACGTTTCGTAGCTAATTTAAATTAAATTATATCCCGCTGCAGTTGAGTGAGTTAAAATTAAATCAACAGCATCCTGGTTTATCATGCTTAAAAACACCCAAAACGCAACACTCGTAGCAAAAGAATATGAAACCCAGTTGAGATACATTGCTTCGCCCTTGAAAGCATCCTGCGGGGAAAAAAAAAAAAAAAAAAAAAAAAAAAAAAAAAAAAAAAGTTGCATTTCTTTTGTACTACTGGGCCGATTGACGACATTGCGTTTTTCATGTCTCGAAAGAGCGATTCAGGATATATTAGATAATATATATATATTTTTATACAGTCAAAGTCTTTAATCCGGAGTCGTCGACTCAAATTTTATTATATAAGTTAAAACCACTCAAAAACTACTTTTTCAGAGACCATTTACAAATAAAGGCATTTCTAGCGATAAGTGTGGAAATTCCTCGAAAAATTCGGCCGCTTAAAAAATTTCTATCAACGCTTGCTTCTCTTAGCACATCTTCATACCTTCTCTAGTCCCGAAATTAGAAAATTGCAACCAGATAAAATATTGACATGTATTCGTATATAATGATGAATTTGATTTAAATCATATCAAAAACGGGAGTACATCAAGATGAAATACTACATTTAGTAAGGAAGTATAAGCCGAATTAAAATAAAAACATCTGCCATGAAGATAAGGATAGTGCTGACAGATCAACTTCCAGATCATTGCGCGCCGCGTCTCCCTTCCCCCGGCAGACAGCGTAAACATAAGTATTAATGATAGGAATTAAAGGATATGGCTTTATCCATTTTTTTTGCAGCAATTCCACCTTTTGTTTGATGGACATCTGAACATGCTTTCGCTTTGTAATCCCTTGGTAGCTCCGAATCGAAATTCTTTTTGACATAATCGAAAGTTCAAGCTTACTTTTATAAATGCTCTAACAGTCTGCAAAAATAATAAGCCGGATCCAATTAGAAG